ACAATGTTGTGAGCCTCATGATGAGTGTTCAGTCATCATAGCTGAAGAATGTGACACTGTTATTCCAAGTTGTTGGACTTCCCCTCGCCCCTCACTGCCCTTGGACGTGTGTCAATATTGTTGTGTGTACTTCAATACGATTTTAGTCAAATTATTATAAAATTAATAAAGGAGAATTTTCGCATTGCCTATCATTTTTTGGAGCCATTACATCTGTGTGTGTGTGTGTGTGTGTGTGTGTGTGTGTGTGTGTGTGTGTGTGTGTGTGTGTGTGTGTAATCACTTATTTGTGCCTGCAGGATCGAGCACTAGCTCTTGGATCCCGGGGTCCAAGAGCTAACAGCTTGACCCTGAAGGAACACATAATAAACACACACACATGTTCCTTACCAATACATTCTCATCAAAATTACTCTGTAAACAGAGAAAGTATTGTTTAGCCTGTTCCACCAACCCAGCCGGCTCCACCAACCCAACCTGCTCCACCAGCCCAGCCTGCTCCACCAGCCCAGCCTGCTCCACCAGCCCAGCCTGCTCCACCAGCCCAGCCTGCTCCACCTGACCTTATTCTCCGTGCCCAGCCCCATGGTCCTCGTCTTCCCCTCACCAAGGTCACACCCCAAGCCTTTCACGCCAACCTCTACATATTTACCCGTGACACGAATCTTAAGGAAACATCTAGGTCTAACTTATTAAAGAAACGTCAAGGAACTCAAACGAAACGTAGCCTAACGAAATACCTAATTTACCACTTGGCATATATGCCCTGACCCACAGAGGGGGACCATGTATGGAGTGTGAGCAGACGAGCCTCATCTGCCGTAGCCTACAGGACTAGGCTCTGGGCTACTTGCACTACCATGGTGACATTAAGCGCCACATCCATATTCATGGGCCATACCTAGAGCGAGCATTGGGTTCAAATGTGGTACAAATGTTAGCAATATATTCCAGTCCCATATTCAGGACACTTGTGTTACTGGAGACTGAAATTAATTATACGAGTATAATTTTGTTATACTTTTGTTATATTTGTTATACTAATTTTATTGTAACTTAAATACTGCTTGAGTTTACTCAGTTGAACAGCTTAAATACTGCGAGCACATGTGAGTGTTTCACCTGCGTGTGATCAGCTATAAAACTCTTGAGTTTCTGTGAGCACTCACTGCCTGTATGTGTGTTTGTAAGCCACTGTGAGCACCTGTACTCACCTAGTTGTGTGTGCAGGGGTTGAGCTGCGGCTCTTTGGTCCTAGCACAGGGGGAACTTGTTTAAAAACACGGGGGAACAAGCATACGGAGGAAGGAGCACAGGAAGATTAAGGAGGCGAGAGACACCGATCATCACCTGACACAACCTCACACTGAGGACGGTGAAGCTGTATGAAGCCTCGTCAGGAACAGGTGAGGAGTGAGGGAAACTTGAAGGGGGAGAAGTTAAATAAAGGTTCGATCAATTCTAGAAAATATTGGGAATTTTGAATTAAATATCAAAATGTTCCAGGCATTGGTGATCAATTTAAACTGTAAAGCAATAATAAAGGAAAATGTTGAAAGATAGAGTGAAAGTTTGAAGCAAAAGTTGAACAAGTTGAATGTAGCAGGGAGGAAGTGGTAGAGAGACAGTGCTGTGTGTAGGTGGCCGCTCTGCCTCTTACCAAATGTTATCAGGTCAGAGTAGGCTACACTGGTTAAGGTGTGGCGCACGCTCTGTCTACAAGGTGTGCTGCACGTTGTACTCATGGTGCACGGTCGAGCTCCAGCTCATAAGCCCCGACATTCCACCTATCGTTGGGTAATTCAGATTCATTTTCTGAAAGTATTTTATCATTTTATTTTCAGTCACATCCCTGTTGTCACTATGCCTCTCCTTCAACCGTATCATTACTGATGAAAACTATGTCGATTGTTTTTAGTATTTTGCATGCCGTTATCATGTCTCCGCAACTTCTGTTCTACATTGTGGTCAAGTTCAGTTCTCCGAACCTGTTGTCACTATACTTCATTTGAATATCGCAGTATCTTAACTTGACTAGGCTTTGTATTTTCTTATAAGTATGGGTCTGGCCACTAGATAAATTAAACAAGTAAAAAGCATCTGTTATTTAAAGATACGTACATATATGTTCCTTTTAAAGATTAAAGATTAATTGTGCAAGCAAAAACATATAGTTCCTGGAAATCACGTCCAGTGTGAGAGCGGTTCTCAGCACAAGGAAAAACCTGAAAATCTTGTGAACCTGAGGAGAATACCCAGGTTTCAGGTTTTGGAGGACTCTTTTAAGAGAATCTCGTGTAGGGTTTCCAAGAAAAGTTGAAATGCCGGAATGTTTATATTGACAAATGAACGAGGTTCAACATCAATTAATCACAAAAGTTTACATTGCATAATATATTAAAAAAATTAATCTTGCTTTAATATAATTTAACGTTAAAGTAGCCTAGGCTTTTCCATCATAGAAATAGGGCTCATGACATTTTGTAGTCCATTGAATATTGAAGAAGCATTAAAAATATAATATCCATTCCTTTAGACTTTATACAAGTAATTTTAAAGCGATAATTATTTGGCACGATAATTGTTTCATACTTTAATTATTAATCCTGACCACACAAATATTATCTTTCTACTACTACTATGTCAAAAAAATATATTATACTGTGTGTCAGTCACTGTCTGACACTCACTTAATAGGCCTACACGGCTGCTTAGGTAAACTGACAATCGCAGTGAAATATTCACATCCATACACAATGTATGGGATAGGTTGCCATACGTACCTTGGAATACACATTGCAATACACAATTTGATATATACGTTGTCATACAAACCCTGAAATATACTTGCTGAGGTATCGACCACCCAATATAAGCCTATATGTGCCGAAATGGCATGTTGCCTCAAAGTCACATGTATTAAGTAATGCTTGTCAACGTATACTTAAGGATGTAAGCAATATCCTATAAACAATATAAGCTATCATCCCCATACACTTCCGCCATACGTGTGTTATACATACATCCATACATACGTGTTCCGCCATACGTGGCTTTCATAGCTGTATAGCCTAGTTATGTTGGATTTTATAATAATACTTATAAAAATTATATTTTCTTAGTATTCCTCTGTAAAGTACCATAAAAATATATATTTATTTAATATATATATATATGTGTATATACTCTCCTTTTGGTGTTTGTAGGACTATAAACACAATTATTTAGTTTGTAAATGTACATATCTATTCAATATTTATATTTGTAAGTCCTACACCTTATAACTTTTCAACCCACACTATTTGGTTGGTCTATACAGAATATATATACGATACAACAACTAGGTCTGTATATACGCTAATAAACCGTTATATTTTATTGCCTGACATACTCAAACACACATATACACTTCATACACACATTAATCCCCACAGAATTATACACCAGGAAAAATATACCCCATCTATATAGTCACGACAATCTGGTTAACCTGATATTAGTGTTGCCATTCTCTTCTTATACGATATTGCACACAAATTCCCTGAACTATGCGACATACACTCCTTGAAGTTATTCTCCTCCGCATACACCATACATTGTATATTCCCGCCTGCATAGATTAATTTCTAAATTCACTTGCATATTAGTTAGGCATTTTTACCACAACCTAGTATCATATTTTACACCATCCCCCACAAAATATTCAAAGTGATTATAAACTCAAAAAGAAAGGCGAATACAACATAGATATGAAAGGTTTTTCCAGATTCCAATAAACTTCCTGTATACAAAGAATTATGTTATTATTCCACAATAAATTTTCTTGGAAGCCGTGAGTAGCTAGCTGGCAACTTTCCGCCTCACCTCAGTACAAGGCTATTTTTTATTGCATTTCTTTAGTTCAAGACGAAAGGCACGTAGCGCCACAAAAGCATATACATTTAATTGTATTTATTTAGCGCAAAAATATCGCTATCTTGTCCAATAATAACGTTAATATATAAACATAATTGCTTCATCTGGGGATGGTGCCGGCTTAACGGGGTCGGGATGTCAGGACAAACATCTGGTAAGGTAAGCAGTTGTTAAGCAGGTGCACAAACACACATCACATGTGCACTCCCTTGAGACAAGTGCGCACAGTGTTCACCCACACTTGCACACTCCCGAGTGCAGCTGGGTACAGATGACCAAGAGCAAATACTTTTACTGCACGACCTACAGGCGTTAGCGTTCAACCTTTCCCAGAGTCGAGCGCCAAGGAGCCATCTCTGACTACGTTCATCAAAGCACGTGTTGCCTCGAAGGCCCTGGAACACGTGTTGCCTCGAAGGCCCCTGGAACACGTGTTGCCTCGAAGACCCCTGGAACACGTGTTGCCTCGAAGGCCCTGGAACACGTGTTGCCTCGAAGGCCCCTGAAACACGTGTTGCCTCGAAGGCCCCTGGAACACGTGTTGCCTCGAAGGCCCCTGGAACACGTGTTGCCTCGAAGGCCCCTGGAACACGTGTTGCCTCGAAGGCCCCTGGAACACGTGTTGCCTCGAAGGCCCCTGGAACACGTGTTGCCTCGAAGGTCCTGGAACACGTGTTGCCTCGAAGGCCCCTGGAACACGTGTTGCCTTGAAGGCCCCTGGAACACGTGTTGCCTCGAAGGCCCCTGGAACACGTGTCACCTGAACAACTATAAATATTGCTTCACCCTTCCGATCTAGTGCCACAAACTTTGCTATCGCAGTGTTCACAGGGAAATCCTATACAACCAATATTAGGCCTGCCTATAGTAATTTTGTAGCCAATAATGGGGTCATAGTTTCTGAAACCGGAAATTAACCTTGGGAGAGTCCATACCTCGTACTGACTAGGAGCAAGATTGCAGGATTCTTTGCCTTATATTGACTAGGAGCAAGACTGCAGGAGTCTACCTCATATTGACTGGGAGCAAGACTGCAGGAGTCTTTTCCTTGTATTGACTAGGACTAAGACTACAAGAGTCCTTACCTCGTACTGACTAGGAGCAAGACTCGGTGTTGGCTCCTTGATCTCCAGCTCCTCCATAACACTTGTCATTTTGATGCGATGCGACAACTATCAGATCAGCTTGAGCAATATCATGACGGGGGCATCCTTTCACTTGCCACCGCGCTATGTCCAGTAACCCATTGCTGTGCCACAGACGTGAGCCACGGCTTTACCACACTATGCCCCAGTAAGCAACGGGTATGCCACACTAGGGCTAGACGTAAGTCATTGCAGTGTCACACTGTAGTCTATGTCCAGCCATCCACTACTGTGGCACGCTAGACCCGTAAACACACCACTGTTGTTGGCACTACGTCCAGTACATCATTTCTGTGACAGTACATCCAGTAAGCCACTGCTGTTCCACAATAAGCCACCAACTGCTTTGCCACACTATAACGTCCAGTAAACCAACTCTGTGCTATACAACGTCTAGCAACTGCTATGCCACACTGCCGGTCAGAGAGCCACACAAATGTCCCAGCAACTAACTGCTTTGCCACACTAACGTTCAAAATGTCACACTGTCGTGGACACAGTAATATCCAGAAAGCCACTGCTATGCCACACGACCTCCGGCAAGCCACCGCTGTGCCACACTAACGTAGTACATCCTTCCACACACACACACACTGGGACTCATTCTACCCAGCGAGACCAGCGGCGATTTTTCATTCAAATTTATGCTCGAATTTCAGTCATTACTCCTTAGGAGGCGCCCGCTTCACCCACCCACCGCCAGACGGTCCACAGGTGGCCTCACGGGCTCCCACTGGGACTTCAGGAGCATAAAAAATCATGAGAATTAATGGTGTTTTAGTGAAAAATCTCCCGAGAGGTGGAGACTAAGTTGAGAGAGACGGGTGAGCGGTGTGTGAAGGTCAGATGAGCGTCCCAGAGCGTGTTATAACCCTTGTGGTTACCCACACACCACTCCTATATCCTCCTTATATGCTATAATGACAATATATAACTCGTATATTACTGCATAAGGTTGCAGGTAGCAGATTCTGAACGTTTCTATTGAATTATGATGTGGTGTTCTTTAGCATTTGTAATGTGTCATATTATATCGTTCAGCATTGCTGATGGATTTGTTCTATCCGCAATGACCTCAGGGGGTACAAGCTTATATTATTGTTATATTATTTGATACGTATATAGTGGAAGTATATTTCTACAAAATAAGAATGTTGTGAATAATATTTTATAATAAAGTTAAGAAAACTTTATAAGAAAAAGTCGATGAAATAATTTATAAATATATACGTAAACATAAATGGGAATGTATCCGTTTTCTATATCACAAAATTTTATAAAAAAAACGTAAGTATAAAGGGTAAACTATAATATATCATATTTATTCCTGATTTATTTGTTTTAATATTTGCAACAAAGCTATTCGGTTTTTATACAAATTTTGATGCATAAATGGTGTATTCTTGCAAAACTAATTCACTATTTGTAGCATACATTCAGAATTTTCTTTGATTTTGAGTTAACGTTATACTCAAGACGCAGTAATTAAAACTATTGGACATTTTAGTTAGCTTTATAATTGGCAATTATACTTGTTTTAGAATGCCAGAGGAGAGGAGCATGTTAAGCCTATCGATGTCTCCATAGACCAGGATTGACCTTTTCCAGGATGCAGCCCATAACGGTTACTTAACTTCCTAGTATGTATTTACTGCTAGGGGAACAGCGGCATCAGGTTAGAGGAAATGTGCCTAAATGCCTTCATCATGTGCAGGAACCAAACCTGAAATATTTCAGTTGTAAACAACAATTTTTTTTTTACATAGTACAGTTAAGAGTCTTGGATACGCGTCATTAATTAATGCAGATAACGAGGGCAGAGCAATTTTTTTTATTTATATATACAAGAATTTTGACATTCTTGTACAGCCACTAGCACGCGTAGCGTTTCGGGCAGGTCCTTAATCCTATGGTCCCCGGAATACGACCCGCCAAATCGTTTAACAACCAGGTACCCATTTTACTGTTGGGTAAACAGAGGCTACAGTTAAGGATTGACGCCCAGTAAATCCTCCCCGGCCAGGATACGACCCCAAGCAAAAGCGCTCACGAAACGCCAGGTGAGTGTCTTACGAACTACACCTACATTACACTACACTACACCTACATTACACTACACTACACCTACATTACACTACACTACACCTACATTACACTACACTACACCTACATTACACTACACTACACTTACATTACACTACACTACACTTACATTACACTACACTACACCTACATTACACTACACTACACCTACATTACATTACACTACACCTACATTACATTACACTACACCTACATTACACTACACTACACCTACATTACAGTACACTACACCTACATTACATTACACTACACTTACCTACACTACAATTGTCACTAAGGTCCCGGATTCAGTTGATATTGTTGTCAAGCCTAAGTACAGGCTTCCTGTCTCTGACAACGGAAAGAATAGTGTGGGGGAACTATGATAATAATACTATTTTATTTTTAAAATACACATAATATGTTACAGTTAGTGCACATACATTGCACATTATAAACCACTAATCATACAGAATTTCTTGGGTTTTGATGTAAATATTATGAAGGGGAAATTAGGAGCTTCATTGTTTTTCCTTTGAATGAAGAATAGGTTTAACAATTCTTTACTTCATAAGGAAGCTTCATGTTTTAGATCACTTTATTTGCATTTTGTGTTTTCATAGATTTAGTTGAACTCTGGAAATGTCAAAGATATATTTCTATGTGATGTTCAGTGGGTTATATTACATGCAGCTAGGAATAGCTTTAAATCATAGTACTGGAGTGTAATGCCTTGTGTGTCGAGACCACAGGAGAATGAACAGAGTGTGTTGAGCATGTTCAAGTATCTGAACATAGGTGCCTTATGTTACTTAAAGGCAGAACTTGTTATAATTCTGAAAGCTGAGTGTAGCTGCATGATGATGATACACAAGTAATATATAGTGCATGAAGAGCAGAGTATGTGGGATATATAACGCCTGATTTTAACATTGTGCCAACTGTTTTGGTGAGTGTTTGGTTGTGTTGTATGTGAGTGTTGACGTTGTCTCCTGTCAGCGTGCCGTAACACCCCAGCAATCTTCTTCTTATACATCAAACCTTATGGCGTTAAGGTTCGCGTTAGACAAGATGGACGTAGAGTCATCACTAAATTGTATAGGTTTACAAGCAAACCTCCTCACCCAGAAGGATTCGAACCCTTCGAAGATAAGTTCGCGTTAGGAGAGAGAGAGAGAGAGAGAGAGAGAGAGAGAGAGAGAGAGAGAGAGAGAGAGAGAGAGAGAGAGAGAGAGAGAGAGAGAGAGAGAGAGAGAGATATGGGAGGTCTTAGTGGGCGTGGCTATGTGTTGAAGCAGGGAGTGGGCGTGCAGTTCATACTCCCTGTCATCTGTTCATTCTCTGTGCTCTGCTTCTTCCAAAGATGTTTTGCGCCTCCAGTCTCTAGTCTGAATACGACGCGAAGACAGACGTCGCAAGAACGGAGATAAACACTTTTTCGGCACCCAACAATGATGAGTCCGCGCTACAGGCTCCGTCGTACGTCAGGGAGCCTAGCCTCCGGAGTGTCAGGGAACCTAGCCTCCGGAGTGTCAGGGAGCGTAGCCTCCGGCGTGTCAGGGAGCCTAGCCTCCGGAGTGTCAGGGAGCCTAGCCTCCGGCGTGTCAGGGAGCCTAGCCTCCGGAGTGTCAGGGAGCCTAGCCTCTGGCGTGTCAGGGAGCCTAGCCTCCGGAGTGTCAGGGAGCCTAGCCTCCGGCGTGTCAGGGAGCCTAGCCTCCGGAGTGTCAGGGAGCCTAGCCTCTGGCGTGTCAGGGAGCCTAGCCTCCGGCGTACGTCAAGGAGCCTAGCCTCCGGCGTGTCAAGGAGCCTAGCCTCCGTCGTACGTCAAGGAGCCTAGCCTCCGGCGTGTGTCGGGGAGCCTAGCCTCAGATGAAAGGAAACGTGCCCAATCGTTTCTGTACTGCTCTGGGATTGAACCCAGGTCCCTTGGTTGTGAGTCGAGGACGTAGACCACAGCGCTTGATAAAATGTATATTCAAAAGTTTATTTTAAAAATCAAAGTGGACGGATGTGTAGGTAAGATGGTGATTGTCACGGGTGTTAGACGTAACTAGCAGAGTGCCACGGGTGTTATACGTAACTAGCAGAGTGCCACGGGTGTTAGACGTAATCAGCAGAGTGCCACGGGTGTTATACGTAACCGGCAGAGTGCCACAGGTGTTAGACGTAACCGGCAGAGTGCCACAGGTGTTAGTATCGGGACCAGTGTGTGGTTAACTACCGTAAAGGACACTGATAATGGGATAATTTATACAACACCAAACTCGACAGATGGCACTAACCTATGGAACAAAGGCACAAGACTACGGTCAGCAGAGACTGCAAGTACAGTTAAAAGTCACAGTTTGTCTAGTGAATACTACAAGTGTTTGAGTGATGATAAATATAAAGTCATACACATCGGAAACTAAACTGACAAACTACTGGAGAAGCTAATGAAAATAGCCGTAGAGACCAGGGAGGGATAGTAAGTAATCATCATCAGAAGGCACCATGCCGGGGCGACTAGCCGAGGGAGGGATAGTGAAGAGTGACATAAAGTCATAAACAGAGCATTTAGCCTGAATTACCCGCCTAAAAGGGGTCTGAAGTAAACAAAGTAACCTCTCGTGCAGACGAAGCAATATAGCAGAGTGCGTAGATAACTTCCATGGGTGTAGACCTGCACCACGATGGACCTCACCCGGCACATTTTGTCTTAATATTATTTATCCTCAACGTGATCAGTTTGTGAGCAGCAGTATGTTGTAAGGGTAGATCACCTGGTGAAGCTGTTGAGTCGCTCCCTTCATGGAAAGGGCCGCTCAGAGACCAGTATTACCCACTACACTTCCCACTCCCGCCACAACCACCACATCTAACGTATTGCCAGTCATCAACTCCAGCAGCAACTTGCATGATGCTCTTGTCGACCACGACTCAGATGATTGGTCTTAGGTTCGATTCCTGGACAGGGCAAGACGTTTGGCTACGTTTTATTTTACCTTGATGTTCTGTCCCTCAAGATGTAAATAGGTGCCGGAGAGTTAGTCAACTATTATGGGTTGCATCCTGTCGCTGACAATGGGAGGCATATCGCGGACGCGGGTATAAAGACATGTGAACTACACTGAGAGAAAGCATGATGTATTTGATGACCTCTGGTGGTCTTGGCGCCCATACCTGCTGACAGAGGGTCAAGGGACGCTTGACAACCGACAGCAGATCGACAGGAGAAACTTGGGGTTGAAACGTTGAGTGCAACAAGCGAGCAACAACCCGTGGTCGTCTGTGCCGTGGTTGCACACCCTCATTTCTTGTTTTCTTTCTCTCATCTTGGTTTTATCTAATTTCCGTATGAGTGATTGCCTGTTTTTTTTTTACTTTTCCCATATTATTTCGTTTTATCCATTTGTTTCTGTCCCCTTTACCTTCACTCGTCATTGTCCCTTCACTCTGCTTCATCAGATAATTTTAATTTATATTTTAACTATATAATTAAGCCTAGGACAGATAATGTGAGGTGGTT